AAAAAAGAAGAAGAAGAAGGCTCCAGAGTGACGACGTCACCGCCCCTTGAGAGACGCTCCGCTGCTCCTCTCCCAGATTGTAGCTGACCGCAAACAGTGCAGCAGACAGGAGGCCGGCTTGTTTTGTTTTTATGACCGAAATTGCGGAAAACAACTCGTGAAGTTTGAACCGTTAGAAGAGCGAGGTGCCCGAGAACGCTGGGACGCTTTTTCCAGCTGAATCTCCGCTGTCTTGGGCCCTCATGTCCCTCCGTCGTCGGACTAAACTCGTCCCCACTTCCTCACCGCCTCGGCCGTATCTAGACCCACAGTGTGTAGCTCAGACCAAGCTTCAATACTGAGCATAATTTAAAAATGTCTGTGTGAAGCTTGCTGCAACACACTGCTGTAAGAGTATAACCAGGAAGCGCGGTAGGAGGGCAAAATAGGTTTAGCGGCACCGCAGCACGGGAGGGAGAATTACGCCCAGGAGCAAATGGATAAAAATAGACCGGAGGAAGAAAAAAACATGAATCGATTATCTTGCAGACGTGTCGATGCATCGGATCGTCGCCTTTTGGATCGATGCATCGATACAAAACGATTATTATTTACACCCCTATGGGATACCCCAAGAGATCCTCTCCGATCTTGGTCCCCAGTTCATCTCACAGGTCTGGAAAGCCTTCTGTTCAGCTCTGAATTGCAAGTCCTCTCTTACCTCTGATTATCACCCTCAGACTAATGAGCAGACGGAGAGGATGAACCAACAACTCGGGTCCACTCTCCGCTGCCTAACCTCTAACAATCCGACTGACTAGAGTCAGTTTCTGACATGGATTGAATACGCCCACAATTCCCTGAGATCTGCTTCTACCGGTTTGTCCCCTTTCCAAGTCTCCATAGGTTATCAGCCACCACTCTTCCCTGCAGACGAGAGAGAGACAACGGTTAGATCAGTCCACCACCACATCCGCCGTTGTCAGCGTGTCTGGAAGGACACCATCGCCACCCTCAACCGTTCATCTGCCACCACGAAGAGATTCGCTGATTCTAAACGGCGTCCTGCCCCTGACTATACCCTGGGCCAAGAGGTATAGCTATCTACACGGGACATTCCTCTCAAAGCCATGTCTGGGAAGCTTTCACCTCAGTTCATCGGTCCATACAAGATTGCCCAGATTATCAATTCCTCTGCTGTCCGCCTGCACCTGCCACCGTCTCTTCGTATCCACCCCACGTTTCATGTTTCCCAGATCGAACCTGTCATCTCAAGCTCCTTGTTCTTGATCTGGAGATGTACCACCTTTCTCCAGCAGAGTGCGCTGTGGGTCTCCTGGGCTGGAGCCCTCCAGCACACCTGACGCTCATCAACCCATCAGGAGACCTACCTACATAAGCAGCAGCCAGACCTTCCTTCAACGCTGCAGTGTTGACCAAGTTTGGAAACCCGTCTCAAGTCTGAAGCTCTGGATGAGCTTTAACCTGCCTGCCAGCCCTAGTGAGCCAAACCTGAAGATTTCAATCTGGATTCCTCCTGCTGCTCTCAGGGGAGAGCTGGAATCTCAAACCAAGGTCTGCCATTCATTAGTCAGAAGCTAGACGCTGCTGCTGCTTGTGCACTCTGCTGAACCAACAGTCTCTGGACCCAACCGGTTCCCTCTCTCACAAGAAAGCTTGGACTTCTTCAAGGTAGACTCTGAAATATCTAAGACTCAATAAATTATCTGACTGCCTGGCTAATCAAACTGTCCGTCTCTGCAGACATCAGTGAACCCAGCCCGGACCAGTACCTGAACCAGTTCATGTCTTTGTGTGAAAACCTGTTTAATAAACTCTGTTAAACTTTTACTCAGCCTCCGTTTGTGTTCTGCATGTGGGTTTAGCCTCTTAAACCAATCATGACAGAACACTGCGGCCAAATACAAAACCCAGCAGATCACCTCCGGAGGAGGCTCGAGGAGCAGGATGCCCAAATCCAAGGACATGCGCACACCCTCCGTGAGTTAAACACTCAAATTGAACACCAGAACCAAGTTTTACAGGCATACGCTGGCTACATGAGGGATGCTAATGCCACGCCAGCAGTACGTCCTGGATTTCCGGAGTTCCGTCCGAGTCCTCCTGAACGATTTTCCGGCAACCAAAAGGATTGTAAAGGATTTTTGTTTCAGTGTCGTTTGCTTTTTAAGTACTCCCCCGGCAGTTTTCCGAATGATAGGAAGAAAATCTCCTTCATTCTCTCTCAACTTACTGGACGAGCCCTTGAATGGGCGGAGGCATGGTTCTCTTCTGAGTCCAGCTTTTCATGTACTTTTTCTGAGTTTATATCTGAGTTTTCCCAAGTTTTCAATCATGACTCAGACAAAACAATTGATTCCCAAGCTCTGCTAAGTTTAAAGCAGGGAAATTCGACAGTGGCTGAGTTCTCCATTGACTTCCGGGTTAAAGCTGCTGCCTCAGGCTGGAATGAGTGTGCGCTTAAGAGTGCTTATTTCAAGGCTTTAAATGAAAACATCAAAGACAAACTCGCCACAATCGATGAACCAGCTAGTCTGGAGGAATTAATCCGATTAACCATCAGACTGGATAATAGACTCCGGACTAGAAATAACTCTAAACATCGAAGCCTGAATTTTTCTGTTTCTGCTCCTGCATTTAACAATGCTTCTGTTGTTTCTGGATCCCCAGAACCCAGTTCCAAGCCAAAGTCTAAGAACCAGACTCTTTCAGCACCTGTCCAAGTCTCTCACTCAGATGGATCGGAGGTCGAACCCATGCAAATTGGACACACAAGGCTATCCCCCGAAGAAAGACAACGGAGGTTTAGAGGGAACCTTTGTCTGTACTGTGGTGAGACTGGCCATTTCATTGCGTCATGCCCGGCTAAATCAAAAGCCAGGGCCCGTCAGTGGAATTGAGGAGACTGACGGGCCATCTAAAATCTGAAAAAACTCCTCATTTATTGTTGCCTGCAACCCTTTTTTTTTCTAACCAGAATCTCACATTATCTGCATTCATCGACTCTGGGTGTGAGAGAAATCTCATTGATTCTGAGCTGGTCCTGCAGTTAAGGATTGAGACTGTTCCATTAACTAAGCCTCTCAGAGTATCGGCAATTGATGGAAAGAAGCTTCACCAAGTTACTCATCAGACGCAACCTTTAGAACTTCTTTTATGTCTTCAAGACATGCCTGTAGCTTATTTAATGGGTTAGCTTCATCTGGATTATAGACAGATATAGCTGGGTATCATCAGCATAACTCTACCAATTGGGAGCGTGTATAAAGTAAAGAGAATTGGTCCTATACCAATCCCTGTGGTACTCCACAGGTAACCTTTGAGCATGTTGAAGATCTATCATTAACATGAACAAACTGAAATCGATCAGATAGATAAGATTTAAACCAGTCTAGTGCTGTTCCTTTAATTCCAACAAAATATTCAAGTCTTTCTAAAAGAATATTATGGTCAACTGTATCAAATGCAGCACTAAGATCCAACAGGACGAACACAGACACAAGTCCATTATCTGAGGCCATGAGAATATCATCAGTGACTTTCACCAGAGCTGTTTCAGTGCTATGATGAGTTCTAAAGCCAGACTGAAACTCTTCAAAAAGTTCATTATGGTGTAAGTGATCGCAAACTTATTGGCAACTACTTTCTCAAGAATTTTAGATAAGAAAGGAAGATTGGATATAGGTCTATAATTGACCAAGTCATCTGGGTCAAGAGACGGTTTCTTAAGCAGAGGTTTAATTACAGCAACCTTAAAAGCTTTAGGTACATATCCCTGTAACAGAGATAGATTAATCACATCTAAAATGGAGGAGGAGATCAAAGGGAATACCTCCTTAAATAACCTGGTTGGAACTGGATCTAACATACAAGTTGAAGGCTTAGATGAAGACAATAATTTTGCTAATTCAGAAAGTTCAATTGGATCAAAGCAGTCTAAACCCGGTTCAGATTCCATGACTACCTTAGATACAATCGCGGATAGAGGAGTGCTTATTATCTTATTTTTAATAAGATCAATCTTATTTATAAAGAATGTTACTCTCTATATTGAGTGCATGTAGTCAGTCTCAAATTGTTGAAGTCCCCACAAGAATAAATATTGGTAGTGATGGAACTATTTCTGGGACATGCATTGACCACATCTACACAAATGCTGCTCTCCAGTGCTCTAAGGCAATCTCTGTGCCTGTAGGTTTTAGTGACCATAATATAATTGCTATTAGTAGAAAAACAAAGATTCCAAAACCTAAAGCTAAAATAATTTTAACACGGTCCTATAAGCGATTTAATGAAGATTTATTTGTAAGTGAAATCGCTAATGCAAACTGGAATATGGTTTGTAGTGAGCATAACCCTGAAGCGGCACTGGATCTATTTATGTCAATGTTTATGGATGCTGTAAACAAATATGCTCCCTTAAAAAAGTTTGTTGTCAAAAATAGGTCTGCCCCTTGGCTTGACCTTAGTCCTAGGTCGCTAATGGCAGAGAGAGATTCAGCTAAAAAACTCTGTACTTTCTGGATCTATTGATGACAGGCGGAAATACTGTTCTCTACGTAATCAAGTCACAAAATTGAATAAGGTAAAAAAAAAAGGGACTACTTTAAACGAAGGTTATATGAGGCGAGGCACGATAGTAGAGGAATATGGAATCTTTTCAATGAAATTATGGGTCGGAACACAACTGTGTGCACACCCTTTGTTGAATCAAATGGATTTGTTCTCACAAAGCCAGGTGATATTGCTAATCATTTTAATGACTATTATATTGAGAAAGTATCTCAATTAAGGCAGACTATGAACACTTCACACAACATTAGATCATATGAATGTATTAAGAACATTATAATGAAAGGTAAAAGTTGTGAATTTGTATTTAACCCTGTAAAACCCAAATATAGAAAAACACTAAAAAAAATGTTTAAACCACTCAGATGTTGTTGTAGGAGGCCTTTGAGGCTGAAAATTAAGTGTTTTCAAAAATTTTATGTTTTAGTAAGTTTTTACAGAAATGTTGTAATATTGCAACATTGGGCCAAATGGGGAGCAGAATTTCCTGTATGTGTACTCATTGTCTGAACAACAATATAGGACTACGGATTAATTTGCAGGGTTTTGCTTTTATCCCAGAACAGTATAACATGAAAAATACTCTCAGTCATGTTGTTATGAACAGTTTGTTTTTATTTATTCCAGCAAAGAGAACTTTTTATTTACAATGATAGTCCCAAAAACAGTTCTTTTCCTCTGAAAAACAGAGGCGAACATCGCACTTGCTGCAATGGGTCGTATACCCTTTATTGCAATGTCTGCAGCGTCCTCTCTTGACCTTCATGGGGAAATGTCCAGTGAGGTCCTTGCGCACATCGAGTGGGGGGTGTGCACATGATTTCTTGGATGGACAATTTGGACTCCCATCATCTGAGGATGGTCTCTTCCTAGCAGTCAAGGGACTCCCTGCTGCGTCTGGGTTCCTGCTGCCTGATGATGGACGTCCTCTTTTTGGATTTGTGAGTGTTGTGTCCATCTGATTTGAAAAGAGAAGAATCAATATTAATATTAATAATCAATTCATGCACGTGTCAAAAATGCATGCAGATATCGCAAAACATGGCAAATAGCAGAAATAGATTATTACCAGGATGAGAGAGGATGCTAGCTGTGCCTGGAACTTTCTCATGTTTAGTATCTCCTTCTTTGGCATCGCGAGAGCCTGACAGTGCCGTTTTTAGAGGAGCCAGACGTTGACCACGGCGAGGGTGATGGTGTGCCAGAAGATGTACATGTACCATTGGCGGGATTTCAGGGTGAACTTGTATTTTGCTGTAAATGAGTCCAACAAATCCACACCTCCCATGTATTGGTTGTAGGTAGCCACAAGGTAAGGTCTTTCAACGTCAATGTAGGTTTTGGTGGCTTTGTCCCAGCGCTGAATCTCCTGCACAGGTTCTGGTCCAGTGAAGGATGACACAAGTGTGACGGCCCTGCTGTCATACCATTTCACAGCGCAGATGTTGTGTGTCCCCTCCACTCTGTGGTCAAAGCTTCCTCTACCCTTCTTCTTCAAGCTCTTCTCATCTTCAAGGTTGCAGTTAGGGAGCCGCACCTGCCTGGCTGTACCCACATAATGGATTCCATGCTCAAGGAGCTTCACTACCAGTGGAACAGAGGTGAAGTAGTTGTCTGCATAGATCTTGTAGTCCTGACCCTTTGGAAAGTGTGGAGGCAAGCTTCAATACAACATCACCTGACAATTCAAGTTCAGATTTGACGCGTATTCCATTCTTGCTGCCCTGGTAAACATCGAAGTCAAGCATCATGCCAGAGATTCCAGCTCTCACCCATACTTCGAACCCCCATGGATGTGGCTTGCCTCACATATACTGCTTGATGCTGCTGAACTTCCCCTTGAAAGGAATCATCATTTCATCCACAGAATTGTGCTCTTCTAGTACCACCTGCAGGCATTTCTCCCTGAATGATTCAAGCCATGGTCTGAGTTTCCAGAGTTTGTCCCTCTTTTCAATCTCTGACACTGTCAAATTGTTGACAAAATGCAATTTTGTCAACAGAGATTGGAATCTGTTGCGTGGCATCACATCAGTAATAGGGGGTGCCGTGTATCTGTCTCCCAGTACATACGGCTTCCAGACATTTGTATCAAGCCCATCCTCAGGTACATGCCCAACATTTTCTGTATTTCCTTTGTATTAGTGTTAACAGATCTTCCATCATTTTGAACGCTGTACTCATTTGTACTTGTAGCCAGAGCTTGAATCATGTCCTCTGACACAAACTTTTGGAAGTATTGGAGTGGTGTGTGGAGGAAGGTTACATCGTCTGTGACAGGTGGACCAGAAAAATCAGTATTGGGACTGATAAAATCCTTTTTTTGCCAGCGATATCTGTCACGGGGCATGATGTGTTCATTTTCTTGGGGCTCAATGTCCACATTGGCTGGGCAGTCAGACGGCTCTTGGTTTTCTTTGTCCACACAGGGATCATTGTCTGACTCCTCATCACTTGCATCAGTGTCATCAAGGGGTACGTCCACATCACTCTCTCCATCTTGGATGATTGCAATGATATCCTGCACACTGTACCGAGGATCTTTCCTTGCTACTGGCATTCTGAAATGGAAAAGATAAAATTTAAACAAATGTATATATAAATAGTACACATACTTAGATTCTAGATAACCTATAGGAAAAGACTGGGTGGTGGAGAGATTGATGTTAAACAAGTTGACGTCCATAGGGTGGAACATTTGCTCCGTTCTCTTCCTGACAGTAAACTAGCTGGATTAGATAACCTGGATAGTAAATTGCTGAGAATGACTGCTGGTGTCATAGCAGCTCCCATCTGTCATATTTTTAATCGTTGCTTGGATGTGGGCCTATGTCCAAGGATCTGGAAGGAGGCTAAAGTTATTCCTTTACCTAAAGGTACTAAATCTGCTTTTAATGAGGGGAACTCTAGACCAATAAGCATTTTACCTGTTTTAAGTAAAATTATGGAAAGATTGGTACATGCACAATTTCAGGATTATTTTGTAAAAAACAAACTTCTTACAGACTCTCAACATGCATATAGAGCTGGCCACTCAACCTCTACTGCAATGATTCATATAACTGATGACTGGCTTAAAGCGATGGATAAATCTATGTTGGTAGGTGTTGTGTACCTGGATTTTAGTGCTGCTTTTGACATTCTGGACCATACTTTATTAACTGAGAAACTTAAATTTTATGGTTTTAATTCTTCGGCATTAAAGTGGATTGAAAGCTACCTGTCTTTTAGATCACAGAAGGTTTATCTGAATGGCAGCCTCTCCAGTAGAAGAAGTTTGGAGTGTGGAGTTCCACAGGGCAGCTGTTTAGGTCCTTTACTTTTTTCAATCTTTACTAATAATCTAGCTTGGGCTACAAAAAGTGCCAAAACTGTCCTGTACGCAGATGATACCACTTTGTATTATACTGCACCTTCATGCGGTGAATTAAATCAGGTTTTGAGCCGAGAACTGAATGTTGTATATGATTGGGTGGTGAGTAACAAACTGGCCCTCAACATCTCTAAGACTAAGTGCATGGTAATTTGTTCAAGGCACAAGCTGTCCGCAAGCCCAAAGCTTGACTTAAAGTTTTGTGACTTGACGGTTCAACAAGTTGAAAGTGCCAAACTCCTTGGTGTGATGGTAGACTGTTCTCTGTCTTGATCTCACCACATTAATTATATTATTGTGAAAATGGGAAGAGCAATTAGTTCCGCAAGGAAATGTTGCTCTTTTATGGCCCGTCCCCTTTTATGTCAAATAGTTCAGAGTCTAGTGTTGTGTCATCTTGACTATTGCTCTACAGTGTGGACATCTGCTGCCAGGGGTGAACTCAAAAGCTACAGGTTGTTCAGAACAAGGCAGCACGGTTGGTACTGGGCTGCCACATTGGATCTAATGTCAACCAGATGCATTCCTGCCTTTCCTGGCTTACGGTTGAGCACAAGTTGTTTTTTAATACACTTATCCTGTTTAAGTCAGTCATGAGCAGTAATGTTCCTGCTTTTATACATTCACAAATTGTTTATAGTAATTCTGTTCATGACCACAACACTAGAGGTTCTTGTAATGGGCAGCTTGTTTTACCAGGTCCAAAAACCAATGCTCTAAAGAGATCCTTTATATATAGATCATTACACCTTTGGAATAATCTACCTCACTACATCCGCTACACTGAGAGTAAATTATCTTTTAAAAAGAATCTGAGAATCCATTTGATGCCCTGAAGTGTTTTTGTTTTATTGACTGTTTTATTATATTTTTTCTTGTTTTATTGGCTGTTTTATTTTACTTGTTCTTTTGTACTTCCTATAATAATTTTAAGAAATTACATTATTGGAATTTTTTATATTTGTAACTGTTTTTACTGTATGTTTTTAATGTGGACCCCGGGAAGACTAGCTGTTTGCCATGGCAACAGCTAATGGGGATCCTTAATAAAATTACAATTACAATCCCATAAAATCATTGCTGCTAAGAGCAGGTGGAATGGACGGTTCAACAGAGCTATGGCTCTGGGTGAGTTTGGCAACTGTATTAAAAAGAAATCTAGTATTATTCTTATTCTCCTCTATTAATGAGGAGAAGTATGCTGCTCTTGCTTTACAAAGGTTCCTCTTATGCAGCAGTAAACTATTTTTCCAGATGTCAAAATGAGAAGGATTTGTCCCCTTGGAAGGAAGGCTGTAGCGCCCCGGGGGCCTTCTCACCGGTTCTTTTCCTGGGAGCAAGTTATTTACTACTCTTAACTCAAACTGGGTAAAACCATATAAAAAAGGACTATAAAACAGGAGTAAAAAAGTGACAGAGTTTATTCCAGATCAGGTCGTTACAGGACAGAGAAAAATGCTTAAAGCTTGCACAGCTGTGGTCTCAAAAATTATGTCCGCAAGCGTCCGGCAAAGTTTGAGCCCCGAACAACCAAACTATTTATCAAAAAACCCAGTCTAATTTATCACATAGTAAAACACTTCTAAACCCTCTTTTTATTCCTCTATTTAAGAATACCCCACCCCCTGATGATATAAAGAAAATTTTGCAGACCATTTAAAACCTGTCGGTAAAGTTACTCCTATAATTTATATTCTATGTTGTTGCCATCGCTACTGATATTTTTCTTTAAAATAAATAAATAAATAAATAAAAATAAATAAAATAATAATAAAAATCCTCAAACTACTGCCCATAATTTTTTATTGTGAATAAGAAATCTGGTGTGTCAGTTCACTTATCTTTTTCCATCCGTCTTGTCGGATGATCCAATGACCTTCCATCATCCCATCACTGCCAGTGGCCTGTTTTCATCTGAAGCAGTGGGCATCCAGTAACTTTCTTAATGTTCGCATCTCAGCAGTTGCACACCATCCCTCCTTCTGAAGTTTAGGAGCAAAGTTAGTCTCTGTGCCCCCTGTAGGTTAATCCATCCTGCGACTCAAGAAAGAAAGTGTCCAATGTCTCTCCAAACAAAAAGTCCATTGTTCATTTTGAAACATTTCCATCCGTAGTGTAGTCAAAGCTATTCAAACAAAATTAACATGCGTGCCACGTCTTTTTTTTTTTCATAAAGGCTAAGATGTTAGTAAACCAACAGAAAAATCCAACAAACATACAGACACAACGACAAACATGTAAGACAACAAAAACCCCAGTGGGGCCTCCGACTTCTCCAAAAAGTTGTTGGTCCTTCATGTCATTCATTTAAGGCCTCTGACAGCATGACCGCTCTTAATGGGGGTGCAATTCCACCCCAACAAAAGTCTGTGAGCTTCAAACCACCACATCAATCTGTACCTCATAAGTCACATCAGAACCAGAGAGGAATTAAAACAAACCCAGAGCTCACCAGAATGTCCTTCAGCCAGGAACAAAACATGCAGCTCACAATCTCTACACCCTGTATCTGGCATGGTGCGTTCTTACACCATCTCTCTCATGTCCTAATCCATGGTTCCGATCCAGTCCAGTTACTAACCAAGTCAGTCCAGTCAGTCCGAACATATTCAAATCCTCCTATCAAAAAGTTTTCAACTATCTGAACCCCCCTCTCTCTTGCTCTAGTCACTCTCAGCCAAGTTGTCCATTTCACATGCCAGAACTTCTGCAGCTGTTGGGAAAATAATGGTTAATGCACATCTTAAACAAAACACAATGAAGGATGAGACTTTTGTCAGCCTGTCCTGGAAGAAACAATGTTAACACTTAAGGATTGTCACAAACACAGCCTGAAAAAGAAAAAAGAACATGTTTAAGCAAAACAATCTCCTGATCCTCCTTAAATGGGCCTCTGAATTATCATGCCTGCTCACTGACAGCCGCACTGTCACTCTCTACCAGCAGGGCAAAAGTAAATGACTCCTCTGGTTGGTTACCAGGAAAAAGCAATCAAAAAGATCATCAATTAGTCAATAGTTAATCACTTAATTCACAGAAATTTGTAAAGTTAGTAGAATCTAACACGTCATGCAAAGAAGGTAAGGCCCAGATGGACAGTGAAAAGATAAGTGTTAGTAATGATTAGAGATTCAAATTAATCAGTTTGTGCTTAGGCAGTTTCCAAACGGCATTATACACAGATAAAAATAATTATGGATAAAAACTGAAGGCTGAAAAAACCCAGGGTCAGGTCACACTGAAATTGTTCTTAACTCTCCAGCCTTGTTTATAAAAGTTGACCCCGCTAATCTGCTGAGCTCCTGCGGGTATCTTGGCCATATGCTGTGTCCAGTTCCAGCTCGAAGTTTGCTATATCCGGTTCCTAATCAATCTCTAATGAAATCCTAATGAGAGAAAAGTGAAACTAATCAATCTCTAATGCAATTCTAATGATTGAAAATGAAACTACCTTTAAATTAAAATCATGTAATGCCCCCGTCTGAGATTTTAGTTTCCCAAAAAGTAAAAACACTCATTCTGCTTCTTTCTTGATAATTACTTATATAATTAATTATTTTTTAATCTATAATCTATTAATCTACAGTATCTCAGCTGCACTCCACACCCAAAAATTACCTCACACCTTACAACAGCAACCTGCTCTGGTCTTGTCAGAGCCTCTCATAGGTGGGGCCTATGAGCAACATGTTTGATACGATTACCCTTCTGTTATGCCCCCAGAGCTCCTTCTCAACCCTATAAAAATGCAAATCATGTTAATGTCACATCAAAAAATATTCTTAATCATGTCCAACTTCACCACACACATTCTACCTCACATGCATTCCACATTTAGGACAGACAGACAGACATTGGCCACATAAAGTTTGTTTAATCCATCAGTATCAATTTAGATTTATCTTCACAGAGGAATTTTCCCAATTTAAACAAAAAATCATAATCTTTTCACCAGTCCAGTCTTAAGACCTCTGCACCAGTGCTTTTCAGCCTCATGTTAGGATCCTTGTTAAACTATATGTGCACATTTATAGAAACCCAAGATTTATTTGCGCACCTTAGACATCAAAATAAGTTTTCACACCCAATGAATTTTAATTCTAAGCGTCCCCCAAAAATGACATGTTTGAATTTCCAAATAGGAGAGCACCTCTAAGGGGTTCTGAAAAAGTGGCACGTTTGTTTTT